TAATTTAGAAAATCAAGTATTTTCTGAATATTTAAAATTGCTTATTTAAAGTCGATTTTCTAAAACGTAGAATTTCAAAACAATTTACAGTGTATACTCTAGAGAAAGAGATCTCTTCTCGGTAACATTCCTGTGAATGTCACAGAATAATTTATATAAAGTATAATAAAAGATATTCTAGAACATAGAAATGTTCTATTTAATAAGAGAAAACGAAAAAGATTCTAGCAAAAACATATATATTTTTTGATCATACGAAATAGGGGTGTCACATTTAAATTTAACTAAATTATTTTGAAACCGAGTAGATAAACATATAGTTTTTGACTTGATTGCTACTATTTAAAGTCAAATATATTTGATAAAACTATATAATCATTCTTTTACGAATTTTGTTATTACATATATATATAGTTATGAGCATCTCGATGTTTTTTGNACTGTAAATTGACATCCTCAAGATAGGAAAATAATACAACAACGTACGCATATGATAAGCTCATATATGTTCATAGAAAATATAGAACTATTTTGATGCCAAGAAAAAAGAGCATTAGATTTCTATATCTTTCAATATATATAGATTATTCTGAGGAATTTCTAGCAAAAAATAATGATCTATTCAAAGAATTTTACTGGATACTTTCGAGAGAAAGAAAAAGATCTCTCTTATACGTTTTCTCTTCTAGTTAATATTCCTGCTAATGCCACATGGAAGCAGAACGGAATGACTATTGCTGGAGATAACGGGGAAGGGGGTGCCACTAATCAACTCAACGACCCTCAAGGTCTCTTTGTTGATGATGATCAAACAGTGGTTATTACTGACTTCGGGAATCATCGTATCATGCAATGGAAGAACGGTGATACAACGAATGGACAAGTTGTTGCTGGTGATGAAGGCGAAGGAAATGGATTACATCAATTGAGATATCCAACTGATGTATTAATTGACAAAGAGACGGATAGTCTCATTATTTGTGATGGCATACGAGTTGTACGATGGTCTCGTCATAGTGGTACAACACAAGGAGAAATACTTATCGACAACATCGACTGTTGGGGATTAGCAATGGATGATCAGAGATATCTCTACGTCACTGACTGGATAAAAAATGAAGTAAGACGATATCAATTGGGTGAGAAGAATGGCACTCTCGTAGCTGGTGGTAATGGTAAAGGTGGTGGTCTCAATCAACTCAACTTTCCGGCATATCTCTTTGTCGATCGAGATCATTCAGTGTACGTATCAGACTACAGCAATCATCGTGTAATGAAATGGGTGGAAGGTGCGAAAGAAGGTATCGTGGTCGCTGGAGGACAAGGTGAAGGGAATGCTCTGACACAATTGAATGGTCCTAATGGAATCTTCGTTGATACGTTGGGTACACTCTATGTAGCAGACATGTTGAATCATCGTGTCATGCGTTGGACTCAAGGAGACAAGATACAAGGCACTGTAGTTGTGGGTGGAAATGGAGAAGGAGCAGGAGCAAATCAGTTCAGCTACCCCGCTGATTTGTCTTTCGATCGACATGATAATCTCTATGTCGCCGATATGAATAATGCTCGTGTTCAACGATTTTCTATTGAATAAGACTTGTGAATTGTTTTTTCTTTGTTCGTTTCTTTTTCTATACTTTGAAATAAATGAACAAGAAAAAACGAAATTTTCTTTTACTCTTTCGCTTCAAAGAAAAGAAAAAAGCTAAAATATAAGATTACGTCATATGTTTCTTTTCTTCTTCTTTTATTTATTTATTTGTTAAATGAAATAAGAAATGAATTTGATT